TACACGAAGCACCGTTAAAATATGTAAAACGGCACGGTCCACATCTGCGTCATTCCCCGCCCTTTTCGTCCTTCTCGTATTTTTTCTTTCCTTTCGCTCGCTTATTCTGGACCTTCAATCATCTCCACCACCTTCGCAGGGTTCAACGAACGGCTACGGCCCGCAGGTGAATCCATGGTTGGCCAGACACATTGATTTCGTGTCGTTCGAACTGCAGTCAACATAACTGTTTTCGGCTTGAAAAATCGATTATGCTCTTCGTTATTAATTGGTCCATACAAAATGATCGACAAAATTTGATCTAATTTATTGACTATGTCACACATGGTTCATGCTAAACATCGATGTGAGATGTTTTGGTAATGCATAACTTTTGTATGTTTTTCTTTTAAACAAGTTATGTATGTTTTTTTCTTAAACAAGTTATGTATATTTTTATTTTAAACAAATCATGTATGCTTCTCCTTTGTGTCAATTTATGTATGTGTACATAAAGGGTTAATATCAACTGTGTTAGTATTATATGAACGAAATGAAGTATGACGCCATTTTGATTCATCTTAGCTGCATTGAGGTTATGTTTGTGTCATACAAGATTTTATATTATAAATTCATATGTAACGTATTATAAACATAATCATATTTAAAATTGATCAAAATTCAAGATCTTATAAAGTACAATAAATAACAAAATTTACATAAATAAACAATTGAGAACTTAATCAAGTATCTATATTAGCCACACCACCATTTCTTCCTTCCATCAAAAAATTGTAAGACATATTAAAAATTGAAGTACCAATTATTTTTATTATTAAGAATAGAAGAGTATAGTTTAAGAATATAAGAGTACTTAAAACTTGAAATATAAATCTTGTACTCAATTACGAGAATGACCGCCTAATGATATAATTTCAGACATCACGTTTCTTATAGAGTTTCAGACGTTCGAGCACGAAGTAAAAGGTTATTGAATTGGTAAAAATATGAACGCAATTCATGAGGATGACATTCTAGACAACAACTTCATCGCTTTTAATTACTCGTCACCTCCTTAGCTTGTCTCGACGCGTATAATTAGAGGTGGCTGGACGACCGATTTCAAACGTAATAACAAGCTGAGCGAATCCCCGCCGTGTAACTCTATCGCACGCTTTACAGTGCATGTAATTATGAGCTCGTTCAAAAGAAAGAATTTCTTGTGAAAACGAAACGTTGCGCCGGTAACGTTAATATTTTCCGCGCGTCAACGCGCGTAACGGCGTAATAAGCATCTGACAAGCAGAATAATTTCCATCGCGAATGAACTACAGAATGATTCAAATTTTATGTGAAAAAAAAGTTACTGGTAGTTTTCTTTTGATAGAAACGTGTTTTTGAATGTTCATTTGAGAATGTATGAATTCTTACGATGGGGGATGCAGGGTCTTAGGGTTTGCATTGGAATTGTTAAATTTGCAAATTTTCAAATTTCCAAATTTCAAGATTCCCAAATTCCAAATTTCCAAATTCCAAGATTCCGAAATTCCAAGATTCCCAAATTCCAAGACTCCCAAATTCCAAGATTCCCAATTTCCAAGAATCCCAAGTTCCAAGCTTCCTAAATTCCAAGGTTCCCAAACTCCAAGATTCCCAAATTCCAAGAATCCCAAATTCCAAGCTTCTTAAATTCCAAGGTTCCCAAATTCCAACATTCCCAAATTCCAAGAATCCTAAATTCCAAGCTTCCTAAATTCCAAGGTTCCCAAATTCTAAGATTCTCAAATTCCAAGATTCTCAAATTCCAAGATTCCTAAATTCCAAGATTCCTAAATCCCAAATTTTCAAATTCCAAATTTCCAAATTCCAACATTCCCAAATTCCAAGAATCCTAAATTCCAAGCCTCCTAAATTCCAAGGTTCCCAAATTCCAAGATTCTCAAATTCCAAGATTCCTAAATTCCAAGGTTCCCAAATTCCAAATTTTCAAATTCCAAATTTCCAAATTTCAAGATTCCCAAATTTCCAAATCCATAAATCCATAAATCCATAAATTCACAAATCCCCAAATTCCTAAATCGTCAAACGTCCAAACCCCCAAATACCCACCTTGTCCTATCCCCAAATCCCCAAATCTCCAAATTCCCAGATTGTCAAATCATTTCCCAAATTTCTAACTAATTAAATTTATAATTTTGAAATATCTAAATTGCAGTACTTAACAATTTTGCAAATGTCTAAATTTGAATAATCCATAATTTTGAAAATATCTACCTTCGAAATCTCTAAATTTGCAAAGTTGACAATTTAAAATCCAACGAATGTTCACCAAATCAACTACGTTAAAATGAATGATAAGACCTTCCCTATATCACCGTTTTCCCTAAGGAAACCTATCACACCCCCAGTATCCATTCGTAACTTCGACCTCTTCGAGATAAAACATTATCGAACACAAAGACAATCACGATTAAAGTTAGTTAAATTGGTTATCGTTGTACAAACTCTGACTAAACAAGCTCTCGAAATAACCAGGCGTCGCGATAAAATTCACACCGGAACTTTTTATCAGGCATCAGAAGTTTGTGCGGAACATATTGAGAAAGCATCCTCTCCCGGCTCGTTAGGAAAAAGTAACGAGGAGACTCGAGCATTGTGCCTGCTGTGTTTCAAAAGCAAGAATTTGTTTAACCGAATTTCGTGATTATGGTGCTTGAGAAATATTGCAAACTTTAATTATGTTTTTGTTTCATAAAGATAAGATGATTGATAAATAGCAAACGTGTTATGATGTGGTTATGATTAGATTAGGTTAGGGTAGGTTAAATAAGATAGCAATGAAAGACTTGAACAATTAATTTGAATGAAATATAAATAATACTTAAACTGTCGTTTTGAAAATTAAAGTTTTATTCTTTTATTATAGTAATATTGTTTGTCTTGAGGCGTAGAATTAAGTTTGTAAAAGATTATATTAACTTAAGGAATTACCCTCTATTTGCCCATTGTCTTAATACAGACTTGAATTTCGCGCGCGCGGGAAACGAATCTTTACGCCATTTTTATACCACTTTGACGGATATTTTCATACAAACTCTTCAAAAAAATAAACGTAGCCAATCAGCTAAAATATCCAAATTTAATTAATGTCTTGAATATCAGAAACTAACCTACATATCGCGAGAACCGTAAAAACATGAAGTAACTGGAGATCTTGCTTGAAGATCGTCTCATGAGACCCAGTCCCGAACGAGTAAACAGTAAACTCGAAAATCAACATTGTTTCGCGAACGTCTCGCGAATCTCCAACATCAGGCTCTAATAATGAGATTTTCCTTCTAATTTACGAGCGGTTAAGGGAAGTGGGTCGTGGAAGGTCGACGAATGTTCAACAATACACCTTATTGTGCCCCAACAACGTAATTGGAGAAGCGATTACGTCAAATGGTCCTCGTGGCCCGTTGGAATTAACAATTTCATCGAGCAATTAAACCGACCAGCTCGAAAAATTCCCGCGCAATGTTGGAGAGAATATTTTTTCCGGTCCTTCACAATTATCTTCAATTCGCAGGGTTGTATTTCTGTTTCAATGAAACCTAGAGTTTAATAGGGTTCATAGAATATACAAGTAATTGTTAAACTTAGTATTTGTTAAACTGAGAGAATTTATAAAATTTTTTGACAATTTTAAGAGCATTAGAATCATAGTTTTATATGGGAGAAGTAATATGCAATATACAGTGGTGTATTGTGGAAGTAGTATACAGTGGGTGCTCGATAAATCCCTGATTTAGGGGCTTCAAGAAAATTTCCACTTGTGTCATTTAAAAAAATTTGTATAACCTCTCAAAGTTATTTGTGAGGTTATGTTTGCTACCAATGTACATTTTTAAAATGTCCTCCCAAAGTAACAAAACTATTCCAATTAAATTAACTAAACTAATCCTACTTTTACTAATATCTTGTTTACGCAAATTTCTATCTATGTATGAACCCTAATATTCGCACTAATTGCAAATTCAGCCCTCATCGAGCGTCGAAAGACGAGCACAGCTAAACGTCGTTTCCTCGAAGCGGCTCGTCCCCGTTAAATCCGAATATTACGAGAAAAATTGAATCGTTGCGGCACGCGAAGAGATTTCCACGAAAATCACCGTGAAAATGGGCTCGTCGTTTCCCGGTCGACGAAGAACGCGTCTTTTACCGACGAAAAAGAATTGATCGTCGTAAGGCGATAAAGAGAACCGGCGAAATATTTTATTTCGTGAATCCAAGGGAAAAAGCGGGAAAGACGACAACAGTTCGTAAGGAAGTCGACGAACCGGGAAAAAAGTAATAAATGATGGATCCTCGTGTCTGCTACACGTTACTCGTACAAGCGTGATTTCACTCCGACAATCTTTGCTTTTCTATCGGAAAATATTTTATTTTGATTTTTACAGATGACTTGATAATTGCTATGTAATTTTTGTCAGTTAACAAAATTAAGTATGCAAAGAGGTACACTTTACTTCAAAATTGTTATTTCATTTTTTGGATTCATTTATGTAAATCTTTTATGAAATCCTAGAAATTGTAACGAAACCTGTAATTTGTTATACATAGTTGTTTAATTTATTTGAAAATTGTCATCAAGTTTTTTAGATTCATTTATGTAAATATTTTATGAAATTTTAGAAACTGTAACAAAACCAGTAATTTGTTCTGCATAGTCCTTTAATTTATTTAAAAATTGTCATCACGTTTTTTGGATTCTTTTATGTAAATCTTTTATGAAATTTCAGAAACTGTAACAAAAACTTGTAATTTATTATCCATAGTCATTTAATTTATTTGAAAATTGTCATCACGTTTCTTAAATTCATTTACGTAAATCTTTTATGAAATCCTCGAAACTGTAACAAAACCTGTAATCTGTTATGCATAGTCATTTAATTTATTTGAAAATTACCATCACATGTTTTGGATTCATTTATGTAAATCTCTTATGAAATCTTTTATGAATTATCTGTAACACAGTGATTTGCTATGGTTAGTAATTTTATCCCAGTGTCACGAAATTATGTAGGCTATCCGAAACAGGCCAATCAGTTATCTGTTCCAGTTGCAACCAACAACATCCGAGGTTAATATCTGATTAACATCTAAATGTTACTCTTATTAACATATAAACTTCACGACAGCTCACGAAACACGTGAAGACAGTAGCAATGATCAAGTTGAAACAAGGTATTAAGTAGAGCAAGATTTGACCCAGCGATGGTGGTTAGAGGTCGAGGAATGGTGGATCGGATGATCCATCGAAGTGGATCGTGGGAGTGTGGCGGTTAGATTCAAATCGAGTCTTCTTCGATACTCACCTATGATGGTGTGCACCCTCACGGACAGCTGTGTCCTGAGAACGATCGAGTTCTTTCGACTGCAACAGACAGAAAAACAATATACGTTAATTAGTAATTCTAATAAGCGAGAACAGGTGCGGTGAAGATGGGTTAATCTTCCATCTGACGGTTTTGGGGTTGCGATACAACTGGAGATGTGATATATGATAAATGTAATGTGTGGAAAATGTAAGAATACGGGGGAAGTATTTAAAATGTCTCAAAGTCTCAAAATTTCGAACCTGCAAAAAGATTCAAAATTCAACAAATTTGTAACTCTAAATGCTAAAGTCCCAAAGTTGTGTCATGATTCCAAACTTCATCCCATCTTATTTTAGCTTATACACTTATGAATAAAGTATACATTTAATTATATACTTACATACTAATATACCTATATACTAATTTTTCCTTGCCATCAATTACAATAAAACTACGTAAAGTATATATCAACCACATTCTCATGTACCTATTCTACCTTCACCAACAGTGAAACTGTTTGCTCTACCTTCAACAACTTAATTGCTCACCTCAAATAATCCACCCTGAGCACACATTCTCATCAGCGAAAGTTGATTAACCCCACCGATTACAAATAACTCAATTTACGCCGCGTGTGTAGAGCTTACGAAACGTTCAGTAAAACGCGCTCGTGCACGCGTCGCAAATATGAAAATAGGTTAGAGCGGCTTCGCGCGGAATCTGCTTCTATCGGGCTAGTCCTGGCGAACTTTAAGGCCCTGCGAACCTTCCCACGCCACACGTCCCTGAGAAACCACAGCGACCGTGTGCACAATGGGTTTCAAAGTCGGGGGAGACGGAAAAAAGGTGGGAGGACCAGAACGAGACGAAGACGAAGACACCGGCGGCTAGGCAGAGCGTCAAACGCATCCGGGGCAAAGAAGTCGGCTACGTACGCGCGTTAATAATGTTTCCGCTCGTTAAACGAGCGAGACGTAGCGCGATTACGTGTTTTGCTTTTCCCACAAACGAATACACCGGCCTTTTCGTCGTGTGCAAATGCTCCCCGAGGAACAGCGACGTACAGTCTACGGCAAATCTCGCTTTCTTGGGGAAAATATGGTAATCGAGGGAAGAGTGTCAGTAGTTGATTTATGGGGGTTTCTGAAGGGGTGGGAGACGTAGAACTTTGGGGAATTTGAAGAATTTGGAACATTTGAAAAATTGAGAAAATCTGGGAAATTGAGAAAATTGAGAAAATCTGAAAAATTTGTAAAATTGAGAAACTTGAGTAAATTGAGAAAATTGGGAAAATTGAGAAACCTAAGAAACTTAAAAAACTTGAAAAACTTGAAAAAAGTCGACAAAATTTAAAAATTGAACAAAATTGAAAAAATATAAAATTTGTAAATGTAGATAGAAAAATTTAATAATATAAAAACTAGCAACCTGAAAATCTTGAAAGCGCAAAAATTATCAAACACACTCACGAATTGAAAAATTAGCAAGTTAACGTGCGTGCCCTTATCTAAAGGAAGTGTACATTGCACGCGAGCGTACTTAAACGCGGATGCTCGCTATTCCTCGAGATCGATCCGCGATTACACACGATTGTGTGTCTTCATGAAAATTTCAAGACACGATGAGAAATCGTTTTTCTATGTAATACAGCATTCGCCACGCTGCAACATTCTCGTACGGACAAGGCGTGAAATCTGAGTGAAAGATTAAGATCTAACAAGACAAGGATGGACTGCGTGTTTGCAACAAGGTGAAGCGTAAGTGTCGTGTGTACCAATTACCGTGAAACGGGGTGAATAGGAATGAGACTTTAGATAAGGTTAAATAATTCTAGGGAAATCTGATACACGTTACTTTACTTCTACGTTGTTGAAATACTTTGGATGTTTAAAAATGTTACATTTAGTTGATGTACCTTTTGGAACCGCACTTTTTAAGTTATTCTCGTTAGCCACTCTGTCTTTAAATATCGAACAAGATAATTTAAACAAGATAACAATTTTTGCAAATTTTATTAGATACATTGATTAAGATTTTGTAGTTTCTATCCATTGCTCTCGATTCTAGACAAATTTTTTAAGATGGAAATTTGTCTTTTTTTTTGGTACACTAGGATTATAGACATCATCGGATGTTTTAGATATCAACTTTACACCGGCCTTTTCGTCGTGTGCAAATGCTCCCCGAGGAACAGCGACGTACAGTCTACGGCAAATCTCGCTTTCTTGGGGAAAATATGGTAATCGAGGGAAGAGTGTCAGTAGTTGATTTATGGGGGTTTCTGAAGGGGTGGGAGACGTAGAACTTTGGGGAATTTGAAGAATTTGGAACATTTGAAAAATTGAGAAAATCTGGGAAATTGAGAAAATTGAGAAAATCTGAAAAATTTGTAAAATTGAGAAACTTGAGTAAATTGAGAAAATTGGGAAAATTGAGAAACCTAAGAAACTTAAAAAACTTGAAAAACTTGAAAAAAGTCGACAAAATTTAAAAATTGAACAAAATTGAAAAAATATAAAATTTGTAAATGTAGATAGAAAAATTTAATAATATAAAAACTAGCAACCTGAAAATCTTGAAAGCGCAAAAATTATCAAACACACTCACGAATTGAAAAATTAGCAAGTTAACGTGCGTGCCCTTATCTAAAGGAAGTGTACATTGCACGCGAGCGTACTTAAACGCGGATGCTCGCTATTCCTCGAGATCGATCCGCGATTACACACGATTGTGTGTCTTCATGAAAATTTCAAGACACGATGAGAAATCGTTTTTCTATGTAATACAGCATTCGCCACGCTGCAACATTCTCGTACGGACAAGGCGTGAAATCTGAGTGAAAGATTAAGATCTAACAAGACAAGGATGGACTGCGTGTTTGCAACAAGGTGAAGCGTAAGTGTCGTGTGTACCAATTACCGTGAAACGGGGTGAATAGGAATGAGACTTTAGATAAGGTTAAATAATTCTAGGGAAATCTGATACACGTTACTTTACTTCTACGTTGTTGAAATACTTTGGATGTTTAAAAATGTTACATTTAGTTGATGTACCTTTTGGAACCGCACTTTTTAAGTTATTCTCGTTAGCCACTCTGTCTTTAAATATCGAACAAGATAATTTAAACAAGATAACAATTTTTGCAAATTTTATTAGATACATTGATTAAGATTTTGTAGTTTCTATCCATTGCTCTCGATTCTAGACAAATTTTTTAAGATGGAAATTTGTCTTTTTTTTTGGTACACTAGGATTATAGACATCATCGGATGTTTTAGATATCAACTTTAGAATTAAGAGATTCAACAATAAATATATAAGGGGTGAACTATGTCTTTACCTCGACAACAGTGAATATACGTGTCTACAGAAGTATCTTAACTTCTGTGATTCAAAATGAGGAATTCAAGATAGGTTCGTATTCTGTACATTTAGTTTTGAAACTGAGAGTGCTGCAGCAAAAGTTAGCTCTAAAGAATCTTCATAATCAACATAATCTTCTTAATTCAATACATATATGAACATCTACTCGCTAATCAAGTCTACAAGTCTCGCCAATCTACAATTCTTATCAAGCTTTCGCTATCTCGAAATATCACCAAGTTTTAATCGCACCATCTACGCGAATTCGTGATCCGTCGACTATCTCGTAAACAAACGATTTCCATGAGAATCGGGGGAAAAGAAGCCTCAGAACGGGTCGTTGGTTTCCCTTAAGAGAGTTGAAACGCGGCTACCAGAGGTTGCTCGAATAAATTAAAAACTTTCCGGCACGGGGCCAAGTTCAATGTCGGCTGACTGGCTGCCACCACGTCGACCTCGTCGTGTTTCCACGTAAACAGACCATTTCTGTCTTCTTTTCTTCGCATTGTATTCAATCCTCGGCCCCGTAATTGCCCTGTATTGTTCCACAATAATTACTCGAGAAGACGGACGAACGCTTGGCTTTTCTAAAATCTCAATTTCGCGGCAATCGAGATGGAAATTTCGAAAGTTATTCCAAAGATGCGACCGCACGAGGGTTGAGCGAGGAATTAGGGAATCGAATTGAATTTGCTTTTTGCTCGGGGCACACGGAAATTTAAATGAACTGGAGATACAGAGATTTAGTGGAGGAAAAGAACCTGGAGGAAAATTGGGATTTCAGGATGCAGAGGTATACCGGGTTCCGGGATTTAGCAAGTTTAATACCGTTTGACACTATGTTCTATAATATATGAATGTGCATTACATTCGTGATACGGCAGTGTAAATGAAGACTCGAATTTTTACTGTGAAGTGAATTTTGGGTTCAATTCTGATTATAGTCGGTACAATCGAGGATCTCTAAATATAAATTATACTTAATATATCAAGTTTCTTCATTTGGTCAAACCTGATAACCTGGTACTCTTGCAAGATTGCTATTATGCACTTTTAAAGTTTGATCATTTTTTAACTTTATAAATTTGAGAATATCATAAAGTCAATCTGTAAATAGGAAATTTGACAAGTTAAGTAGGAAATTTGAATGACACAAAAATTTTTGATACAAGATGTATGATATATCCTAGGGTAGGTTAGTAGCTAATATGACGTACCAACACAATTCCATATCAAATCATAGATACTGAAAACTTTGACGATCCTGAGTATTCGTGTGCACAGTGAGGTAATTACAGTGAGGTACTCCAACCAGCTTAAATTTTTTCAAATCCTCCCCAAGTATACCTTTGCGAACCCGCTCCAGTATCCGCAAAATGTTCCATCATTACAGCAATTCGAAATCGGCGTAATCCTCGAAACAGCTCGTAACCCGAACCGATTCTAGACCTCGTCTGCATAGATCGCAAAGGTACTCGAGCCGTTGAATGGAACTCTATCAAGCTACTATGGAACGGCTGGCCCGGAAAAACAAGCCGATCGTATCGCGGAGCAGCGGTCCTCGAGATCGACTGGAGGAGTCGGAACTCGATGTAAATGCGATCTCTCAGCCTCTCTCGTCGCTTGCCATCTTGCCGGCACCAAGTGCACCCGCGGGAGAACGAAAACCAGCTAGGGGAACGTTCCCTTGCAA